GCTGCTGAAATTCCCACTTCTGCTAACAGTGACACTCAGCATCCTAACCTAGGGCCTGTCATCAGGGATCTGGCCACTGATTCCAGTGGAAGAGTTCATACTTCAAGCTTAAACTTCAGTTTTATTCTGATCAGTTAGTCATGTTCCCCTTGTATAGGGCAAGTTAAGGTTCTGGGCCTGAAAAGCAGTTTTCAGGGTGAAGCTACTGCAGAAGCAGGTCTGTGCACAATTCTCAGTTGCTTAAATTCATCCTAAGTGGCCTAAACACATTAAAAATTGTTGGTTCCATTTAAAACACACCAAAAACCTGTTGGCTTCATCTTTTGATTGTGTTCTCTTCAAGGAAGGAACATAAAGAAACTGAAAATTAAGGGTGATATTTCCAACAGTTCTCAGCCTCTAGCACTACTCCCCCTGATATCAGTTATAAAACTCTAATGGCTTCTATAGGGATATATTTAAGACAGTGGTGAGCACTACTGAAAATCCTGCCTTAAAAGTCTTCCAGGGACCGGTTATGTCCTCTAGGCACCAATCAACAGCAATGTGTTTGGCTTAAAAAACTGTAACAAAATTACTATAAATCTCTTCTTCTACTTATTGTTCCTTTATAGGAGGAAAACACCTGAAATTATTCTGTGAATTAACATCCTGGAATTTCCCAGGTCAAAACTTGAATGCTAATCAGATAATTGAACACTGAATTTGTACAGTCAACGATTGGCTACAACTTCACCCTAGGATTTGAAGGTTAAACTTTTTATTTTCATCACTGTCATTAAGAACAATAACAATCACAGATGTAATTCTCTTAGCCATATTATACCAGTTCTCTTAGCCATATTAATCTTACCTCACAGTAATTTTATATACATTTTAAAAAATGGAGCTGAAATTGTGATTTCCCTACAAAATAAAGTCACCTTGTATTGCACCAACTTCCTGCCTATCAACCCTCTCTGCATCCTTCTAAGGCATAGTTAATTTGGAGTGTGATCCTGCAAAGGCTGTCAAAGGTTCTGCTTGCATTACCTGTAAGCACTATTAGTGCACAGCAGTGAACATTCCCGGGATGGAGGTCTCTCAATGACTTGACCTCCTGGCCTACAAACTGCAAAAATAGTATTCAATGAGATATCAATGATGATATCTAAAATAATAAGGTGAGAAAACTTTCCTGAGCCTGGCATTTTACTTCTTGCTGTTGCTTTTTGATGATCACAAATGAAAATTCTGTTCCTGCATTTATGGTTTTCCCATGGTGAGAATCAAGTGATGCTGACGAAGAAGTTGATGTGCCAAAGCACCACCAACACCTAGAGCATCCTACCAACACAGTTGTTATTTTCTCTGCTTCTGCAGTGTGAATTCTGTCAATGTAATGTGTGTTTCTTCAGTGGTTTTATGCTTCTGCAGTGCCAAACCAGCCATTTCAGCTTAAACCACTTCTGAAGGAAGTTTGGGTAAGCGAAACCCAGTCTCCTCCCTTATTTTATAATGCACTTTGCTTCAAGACATTCAGAACTTTGTCCTAACAAGTTGTGTAACCTGTACGTTGTACCATTTGCCCCAGCTCTGTCTTTTATCCTGTTCAGCTTAAAATAATCCTGTAACTCTCAGCTATTTCAATAGGACTGGTTGCTGGCTGAGGCTGAAGTTATTATCCTGAAAGATATTGAAGCCACATGTTGAAGAAAGCTGAGAAGAAGAGAGATGGGTTGTGTAATTGTTCTTATCAGCTTCCCAAATCAGGAAACAACACAACCCTTCCCTTCTCCCCAAATTCCCATATTTCAGTCTCATCAACAAAGTCTATAATTACCATGGTCAGACAGGAAAATGTGTGACATATAAATAAAGAGCAATGTAGTCACTTGGTATGTAACAAGCCTTTCCTATTCTGGATCAGCTGTACTTGACGGGAAACTTTTTGAGGTGTTTGTTTACCACAAATGCAATTAAACAATGTGCTCTGCTGAGATGCTGGTACAGATAAGTGTGTCCTCCTCATTAACTGTCTGCTTTAAAAAGCATTCTTTCTAGGAAAGGGAGAAGTGTTTCATTTGGTGTGGACTAGGAGCTCGACAGCTTTTGCTCTAAGAAAGACAGGAAAAACAATCTTCTCTAACTGAAAAACAAAACCACAACTAGACTCATCTGTTTATTATTACATAGGAAAGATAAGAAATTCACCTGTTTCACTTCTCGTCTTTTCAAAGAAAAATCTTATATAGGAACATGGTGATCTAGTTTGATCATTGAAAATGTGAAAGGCTTTGTTGAACTCTGTGGAGTAGGGATATGTGTGCATGTGCTTGTGATTTCTCTTTATTATTATAATGCAGAACTCTGTTGACGTAAACATTACAGTAACATGTTCCATTCTACAGTGCAACCAAGAGTATCTAAAAAAATTCATAAACTACATTTCCCTTTGCAACCTTTCTGATTTAACTTTTTCAGCTAACTCTTCTGGAGAACCCAGAGTGAAACATAACACATCCTGCCTGTTCATACAAAGTCTGCTCGCTTAGTCAATTTTATAACAATAAAAATAGCTTCAGACTTTTCAGTTCCCCCTAATCTTATGCACTGCTTCTAATGCAACATTCTCAGTTCAGTGCTCACTACATGAACACCACAAGAACGGGGGGCCCAACCTACAACCTGCTTTCACCAGCAGGCAGAGATTTCAGGGAAAGGTGACAGGGGCCCAACGTGTTCCCTCACTCTCAGGTCGCAGAAATGAAAATCAACATAAAGCAAACCGCAGTTGGGATGTGAATGTTTGCTGCTGAAAGCACATTAAACTCAAAGCATTTGCCTCAGTCAGTGGCTGGGTAGGTTTTTTTTTCCCTTTGTGCATTGACATTTGACCCCTTTTATAATATGCACCTTGCACCACTGAAATCGAGTTAGTTATTTATTAAACTCAGGTACCAATGGCTGACTTGTACATATCACACTTTTAACTGCCTGGTGTTGCCTGTGTGGAGCAGAGGGGGATGAAAGGCAATCGTCTTTGCTGTGAAATTCTGTCATATCGGCAGAAAGAAGCTACAAAGTGCAGTAATTTGTACCTGACCTCTGATCTAAGAAGTTTGTACAAACCTTTGAACCTTGAATTGAAATTGAGAAACAAGGTTTACAAGTACAAGGAAGACATTTCCAGTACTCGTTACCTGTGCCCAGGGTTAATATTATAAATTTAAAAAAAAATGTTTAACCAAGGCAGGGACTCTCTCAGGAGGCACCATTCCTGTGCTGGGTTAACTCAAGACAATTTAAGTCTACTGAAATTACAGATTGGTTGGAAATACCTAGGGTTTGGAAATGAAATTTCCGTGCACTACAGAAAAGGAGTGGGATTTAAGACAGATGTCATTTGAAATTCACCTTTTGCTGACCTTAACTGGGATTTTTTTTTTTTTTATTAAAAGCTGAAGAGAGAAGACAAGCAACATTTGATTAAATATATTTTCTTCAGCAAAAAATGGAGCTGAAATGCAGAAATGAATAGAAATTATTAAAAAGAGTAGGAAATTACTCCCCCTTTTTTAACCTAACTTATTTTTATCCAATACATTATCTAATCTCAGTTATACAGTGCAGAGCTATATGAGAAACCCATGGAAAAATAATCAAACCAACAACATTACAACAAACTCTTGATAGACAGTCATATGGCCTTGTCTTGACTAGCAAAAAGGACATGTTTTGCAGTTCTGTTAGATTGACTGTGTTAACTTAATTATAAAGCTCTCTCAACTCTTTCAGACACTGGCAAGGTCTTTGGTGGAACATCATCAGCTATCACCAAGATGTGCCACCGTGGACTGTGTTGGGTGTGAAGGCCATCAGAGTTCAGCTCTGATAACATGACTGAAGAAGATGCCCTTTCTGCACCCCAGCCTGTCAGGCCATGGAGCATCGCAAGGGATGGCAGTAACATTTTGCCATCACATCTCTCACAAACTCCGAGCATGGTCTGTCATCCATGGCAAGCCTGGCTGTGCAAAGGGTAAAGGAGCACTTTACACACACATTTTGAAGCACAGCTTCAATCCCACCTAGCTCAGGACAGGACAACATTATACACAACTTCTGCATCTGGTCCACATGTGAACGGACGATTTTGTCATTGGTTTTAATCAAACCTCACTTACAACTACTACATTTCCCCTTTTTTTTTTTTTTTTAAAGATTTTAGATTCAAACTATTTTTTCCAGATTTAAGTTCAAACTTCATTATTGTTATCAGCACTGGCCCTAATAAAGCAATAAATGAATAAACAAATAAATTAACAGATTAACATCACGTGCCCTATGTCATATACAAGCCTTAAACATTTCACATGCTGCTTAAGTAGAATATGAAAGAACAATATGAGAACCTGATTTTCTTAAAATGCTATCAAATTTTCAGTACATTGAAGGAGTTATATAGATTCATTTTTATGAATAATACTTGCATATACAGCCCGTTTGCTCAACCTTCCTAGACACCTTCAATCTACAAGCCACAAATTCTGTACCTAAAGCAGATAACCCACTTTGAAAGCTTGATTTTTCTGTCAGTCTCTTGAAAAAGCAGAACAAAATACCAAGCAACACAGACAATGGCAGAGACAGACCAATTGAAAACACGTCAGGCGGTTGTAAATGGCTACCTTTCACTTCATTAATTTAAGATAGTAGGAAAAATATCTCTGAGACACGATTGTATTTGTTTTCCTCTGTCTAAAATATCAGTGGTTTAGTTTTCAGTGTTCTGACATTCTCTTTGCTCTTTGCTACATAAATTCTTTCAGATATTCACGTCGAGCTCGTAGTTCAAGCTTGGAAGTAGTTGCTTCCTTCTCAAACAACTCTTTAGGACCCTCTAAAAGGAAGGCAAAACCCAAACCCGATACCTTGACAATGACATACTTTTGGTCTCAACTCTCTGATAAATGAAAACCAGATAAAAAGCCCTACAGAGCAAACAAGATTTCCCTTACCTCTCTGGTCCTGCGATCGAAGTGCGACAGGTTAAGAGGACTCACGCCTTTGCCCGAGCAACCTTTCTTCCTAATGGCAAGAGCCGTGTAACCTGGTTATACAGTTTATGCATCTCTTTATTGGCCAGCGAGCGTTAGCCATTTAAATTCCTTGGGAGTCATTTGTTAAGGGCTCTTAGGCTGAGGCTAAGTGGGTGGGACGGGAGGGAGAGGGGATGTTAGAGCTGCCAGACGCGGAGAGCTCTCCAAAGCGGTTTGAAAATTAATAGAAAACCATCTGCAATGAAGGGATCTTTGGAGAGAGGGCTGGGTCCAACCTTCAGGGAAGCATGGGAAAGAGAAACCATGACTTTTTCACAGGGAGGAGGAATTTGAAGAGAAAGATTTCATTCAAAATCCAAAACTTGGAAAAAAGGGAGTGAAACATGTACAAACAACTCCTTCCTAGCACAAGGCGTTGTGCAAATAGCTTGAGTTACTCACAACAGATAAGATAAGAAAAGGGCATATTTTGCTTGACGGCATGAGGTTTTTTCACTGAAGTCTTTTTTTTTTTGTATTTATATGTGTCTGGCAAAATTATTTCAAGATGCACTGAATCAATTTACCTTTGGTTGTAAGAAAAAACATGGTCTGCAGCTCCTGGAGCAAGAGGCAGGTTTACCGATCTCAGCAGCGGCAGGACATCAGGAATAACACAGCCTGTGCTGCGTACCCGGCGTGCACTGTTTCAGCAGCAAACACGGAAACTCAAATGTGTTTGCTTGAAAGAAAAAAAAGAGCCTGGTGCAGAAGTAAAAGCACAGGAGTGGTAAAACATGATTCATGACAGCAGAAATGGTCTGTACATAACAACGGAGCATTCGGCCCCAGGAGCACTTAGGCAAAGCAAACAACACACCTTCTCGAGCAGCCAAGAGGAGGAACCACATCGAAACACTCTTTGGATGATGGATTTTCCCAATTGGCAAGCAGTGTGCCCAGCCAGCCGGCGGGAGAAGAGGGAGCAGGGCATGCCTTGGGAGAAGATTCATTTCTGGGAAAGGACACTGCCCAGAGGAGATGAAAAGCAAACAGCACATCACAGAAGCAAAACAGCTACAGCTTTCAGTCATTTGCTTTTTTTTTTTTTTTTTTTTTTTTTTTTAAACTGGCATAGCCATTCCTTTCTTCTTTCTCTTTTTTTCCAAGAAGTAAAACTTGGTCCAAATCTCCAGCCAAGCAGTACATGGGCAGGAACCTCAGGGCATCCTCATGTGGAAGGAGAAGTATCTTAACCTGTCAGTGACAAACTGCGCATAGGGATGGATTCTGCAGACTGTCAGTTTGTATCAGATGGTCCTATATAATAATTTGTTCTTGCCCTTGGAGTGCTTTAACCTGGGCATGTAAAACTGAGAGACATCCTTGTACTGCAGAGTCAGAGGCTGGTCAACAGAGAAGAGGGATAGGGGACTCAACGGGTATAGAGATAAGAGCTCTAAAATTAGAAGGCTCCAAGTTACAGAGAGAAATGTGGAGGACGGCAAAGACTGGCAAAAGAAACATCTCTGTGGCGATTTCTGAGACTGAACAGGAAGGATAGCTGTTCTACTCATACCGCAAACCCAAAGGGTGATTACAATCACTCTGTTCTGGCTTTTTGTACTTGTTTATCCACAGTACTGTGGCCGTGCTGTGTTAGGCACTGTACAAACACACCTGCAGCCCGGATCCTGGTCCCAAAATGCCTGCAGCCCAAGTCTACTGTACAAGTCTTTCATCTTCAGAATTCTTCTCTGCAAATGTTAACTCATTGGCTACGAGAGTTGCAGTGAAGCACGTACTGCTCTGCTGGCAAGTAAGCTGCAGCGTGGAAATTAAGTGGTTTGCCCAAGACTATGGAAGGAATCAGTCTCAAATCCAGGGATAAAATCTAGGAGATTCTACCAAAATCAGATCCATATCTCAATCCCACTAATCTATATAGGGAAATAAGTGTAAAATATTTAGTTGGTATAAGCTAGCAAAATTCCCCTCGACCAGATTAATTCATTTTTTAAAGTCAGTTCCCTTCTCTTTACTTTGCATTTTTCTATTGGAAAACAAACTAAACTTTTAACCATAAGCATTGTAAAGCGAATCCTATCAGCTACACTTGTGCATGTACTTGCATATGCACAGGGAAGACTATGCTGGTGTAAGTGGAATGAAAAAGCACTGACGCTAGTGAGCTGATGGGCTCATTTTTAGAAGGCTCTTCAATATACCATGTAACTTAGGCTCATGTAGGCAGGCTGCTCAAACTCTTTCATTTTATACTTTCACTTTCAGCTCCAGCTTGTTGTTAGTTTCCAAGTTATGTCCCGATTATTGTTTAAAGCAATGAACATCAGCAGATCAAGTTGCTGCAGGGTATTCTGTGGTGACAGCATTCCTAAAGGTAGAATTTGAAGATACAATGATTTGTCCTGCAGGCTGTGCTTTTATAGGGAACCTAAGAAAGTTGGGCAGAATACTGCAAGTGTGTCCCCGAGCCTTCTCTGGTGTCAGGCACCTACTCCCTTCAGCTTCAAGCACACTGAGTTCATAGCGATTACGTGACTTTTTATATGCCTCTTTAGGATGACTCTGTCATCAGGAGAGGGATACACCTAAGGCAGCGTGGAAAAGTGTTAAGGGCAGAGCCACCCAAGTGGCATGGAGGATGGGTTCTGTCCACACTTAACATGGTCTTCTCACACAGCATCCACTGAACAGTGCAAGGATATAAACACATCTTCTCTCCTAATGTACAGCTTGACTGCAATAATGAAGTGTCATCCTCTGTTACAATAATACCATAAATTCAATTGTTTCACCTTTTTGAAGACTGACAGCTAAGCAGGGACCAAATCCTAAGAGATGTGAAAGAAAACAGTGCAGAGAAGAGTCCATCCAGACCAGTCCATGCCTGTGTTTCCCATAAACCTTCTATTTCCTTTTATTTTTTTTGCTGTTGTGGGATTACACATGGAAGGTTTTTCCTAAATAATTATTCTCCTGCATACAATGATAGAAATGGCTGGACATTTGAAGAAAAAAGTGAGATTCACTGGAATGTGCTAGTGCCTATTGGATGGGGACCTGCCCCCTGGCACAGAAAAGGCTTTCCAGGAGATGATGTGTTTCTCCTTGGCTGGCTTTCTTCTACAAGCAGACACACAGTCTGGCCTCTGCTGACTGGGGGCACTGGGCTCCTCCAGGTGATGACAAGCATTGGTTCTACTCTAAAAGATTTTTACAAAGATCAAACCTAAACGCTTTGGGAGATCCAGAGGCTCATCACAGGCTCATCATTTTATTGGGGTGAGGTTATTCTCTGGATGAGAGTGAATATTTTTGATGATCATGGTAGGAAATGGGTTTTCAGGGGGTATTTCAGGGTGGCAGCTTGGCATCGTGTGACAGTGCAGACACGTGAGCAAGTGAAATAGAAGGGAGAGTAAGGAGTGAGTGCTAGGTTGGTTTTATGGTTATATTTGGTATTCAAAACCTACTGAGAGACTGTAATGGAATGAGAAGGGAAAGTGCCAAGCAAAAGAGTTCACCAAAAGGGCACGTGAATTTAAGAGTGACCTGCAAGGTCTCTGATCAAAATCTCAGAAAGTCTTCACAGTTTATTAGTATATTCACACATAAGCCTGTCCTCAGCCACAATACAGCCATAAAAATTAAGATCTCATAATGTAACAGACAACCTTTTTTTCCCTTTTATTTCTTTTCCTTCTCTTTTTAACAAAAGCACTTTGTGTTTGGTGGAACGGGTTCCCACATGTTTGTAGAACCATTTTATTGCCTATTTCAATGTTTAAAGAGACAACATCACTTTATTTAAATGAATAACATGTTATTTTACACCTGTTCTTATACAATGTGAATTAATATAGCACAATTTGTCACTTCCTGACTTCCGTAAGTTATTGTAAAGCAAAAACTAGGGACATCCTTCAGAGAACATACAGTCTGTAACACAACACTCTCTTCACTGGTGAGTAGTATACAACAAACACACATATAATTATATATCTCAAAACAGCTTTACTATACAGTCTCAAGAGATTTTTCAGAGGTATTCAGGCACCCAGGAAGACATGTGGAGACAACAGCTTTCCAAGTTCTCTCACACCTAAGCCCTTTCCATGTTTAACCTACATCAGTGCTTTGACCTTTATCTTGCCACTTCACAGAGGATTCCTGGTAAACACCCTTGCAAAGGTGGACAACCCTAGTGCTCTGCCAGCCACAGGTACATCCCCCATCCCAGCATGGAGAGGAAAAAGTCACAGCCCTGAAGGCGGAGTTCCACCAGGGGGAAATTTAGCCAAGGACACCTTGGGCTTTCCCCTTTTATTTTTCAATCTTCAGCTTCTCTGTGACAGTTGCCCTGATAACCTTAATGGTCACCAGGCAAAGTTTTTGTTTTATTTTTAGCAAACACTTTAATTGTCATTCTGCAATGAAAGTCAGCATGAAGGATCACCCTGGAGAGTAAATTCAGTTTCCCCATTCCCAAAAGCAATTTTGTGCTTTTGTTTAAACCTGAAAACAATTTTAAGTCCGAAATGTAAGAAGATCGATGCTGAATAAACCCATTGAGTGAAATAGATTTTAATTAGCATATAAAAAAAAGAAGAAAACCAACAAACCTGAAGATTTCTCATGTAGCCACAACTATTATATTTCTGTGGCATGTTTGCTTGCCATTAAAATAAATACTGGGTGGGTTCTGTATAGACATAGCTACAAGGGAGGTTAATAGGATGATTGCTTTTCAGTCTGTGTAAATAAAACAATCTATGGGAAAAAGGCTTAGCCCTCACTAGCCTGATGTGGCTGCTCAAGAGCAGTGTTTCACACCACGGTCTCACAAATGTGCTAAACTGGTGCTGCCAAGGGAAGGTCTCACTCCATCCTTCCATCAGCCACCCTGTGCAGCCTCCGCATGTGCTGCCACGAGCGTTTCTGCGGCTGCAGCCCGCACACACACTGCCCAAACACCTGTGCTGGCAGAGGGGAAGAAGAAGGTGGGACCAGTCCAGCATTGCTGGCTTAAAGCATTTGTTGAATCACCAGTGTAGAGCAAATTCATGGG